GGGGGGGGGGGGGGGGGGGAGGGGCGACGAAGATTTTTAAAAACTTTCCCGAGTTGACGAAGTCCCCCGGATTTTTAATATTAAAAATTAACTGGATGTAAATTGCTACGTTTCTCACATTACGTGCCGGGGCCGCTCCGGGAGAGGGTGACGGAGGGTGGGGGTGGGGGTAGGGGGGTGGATGTTGGATATAAATGGAAATCGCGGAACATGTTTCGGTGATGAATGAGTCGAGTGATTTAATATCTCCTGACTAGCGGAGCAGCGCGGAGGGGGCCGCGGGCGTTTTCTTGAGAAAATGCGATTTCGTCGGATGAAATTTCATCTCGCCGTGACACTCCGCCGAAAAGAATTAATCAAAATTTCATCACAATGGACTCTTTTTCACCCGCGGACGCTCCTCCGGCGGGATTCAAATCGGGGTTGGTCGATGAGATCGATGGACCACTATACGAAGGAAGAAAGCCGTATGTGCCTTCAGACGTTGCCAAGTTCCCTCCGATAAAATCCGAATTTACTGGGAAAAGTGTGATTATTACTTTCCAACATTTTCAGACGATTTTGCGTGCAATTTAATCTAAAATATCTGAAAATTTCAAGGAAAAATTTGCATGAATGTTGTCAAAAATACGTTTTTTATCAAGGGAAATTTGGCAACTTTCAAATGTTCTTACGGCGTTTTTCCTTAGCACGGCAGTATAAGGGGTAAGAATTAGAGGACTGTAAGATACGGCAGTGATAGCGGAGAGTGCAGTAAGTGTCAAATTTTAGAAATCAAAAAACCCTTGTTTAACTGTTTTCCCGAGTCTGAGTGACACCTCCCTAGCAGTATAGATTGGAGCACTGCAAATTTAAGACTCACGGCGTTGCGCCTTCAGTTTACTTTGCTTATGCAACATGGACATCCATCATGCACGAATAGTTGTATCTCTGCGCCTTCATCCTCTCCCGTCTTTTCCTTTGCTTGATTTACATGTTGGGCGAGTTGATACCGTTTGTCTTATTGTTGGTAGTGCACTGGAAAAAAAACACGTTGGATCTAGAGTCCAGACTCTTAAAAACATCGACAAGAAAAAAGACTCTTGATTCAATTGGATTTTTGCTTAAATCAAGACCAAGCCTCTTAATTTGAGCGGATTTCCTTTTGATTTAAGCAAAAATCTGAATGAATCAAGAGTATTTTTTTTGGTCAATGTTTTCAAGAGTCTGAACTCTAGGTCCAATGTGTTTTTTTTTCCAGTGTGCTTCAAGGGTGAAGGACTATGGATAAGATACTAATCTCAACAAGCACATTCCGATAAATGAAAGTCCACGAAAATGCCAATAGTGTTCAAAATATAAATTTTTAGCTGGGTTTCCTCAGACTGATAATTACCGAATAATACTCATCTCCACCTGATAGATCCCCATCGTTTTTCGTCACAGCTGACACTCGCTATCGGAACATTCATAGACTGTGTCGAAATTGGACCGCATTCATCAGAAAGAACCAAGCCACATCAGCTACTGCCAAATTCAACTAGGTAATTTAATTTTTTACAAGAGAACATTTGTCCGGATTCCTTGGAAAATTTTGAGGAATTTGCTTCGCACTATGTAGAAAAATCATTGAGATTTGCACAAAAATCCGCAAAAAATGAAATTGCCTTATTGAATTTTACACACTAGCGGATCCAGCAAATTGGCAACTTTGTTTTTCTCCATTTAAACCTTTGAAAATGTATCGATTTTTAGAGGTGCCAGGTGCTCTGACACGAATCGATCATTTAACATAGGTTTGAACGAAGGAAATCCGGCGTCGCCAAATTGCTGGATCGTCCGCCTCAGATTTCACAATAGCTGATGTTGCTTGGTTCCTTCTTGCTTAACGCGGTCCAATTGTCCTCATTGTGGGTTCCCGTGACCTAGGACGCGAATCTGACTGAGTTTTGGGAGATCAGCGTCTTCTAAGCGAGGCTTCGCCCGATCCAGCGCAGAAGTCTGTGAAGAGGGGGGGGGGCGACCAATTGGGCGAGCAATAAATGTTTGATCGAGTAAATAAATCGTTGCGACGGCCATGAATCGCAATGGAAGTGGCTAATAAAATGTCTAACATGCTTGATTCGGCTTTTATTACTCTTCGGCGAGCTATTCGTCCCCCGAGGATCTCGAACCGTTATCCGCAATTTTCCGTCGCGAATCAACGAGCCAAAAGAATCCCTGAAAAGTTTGATTCCTGGCCGAGTTTTTCTCTATTCTGACGAGGATTTCTAGTGCTACCGTCCAAAGCAAAGACCATAAAGTATCTATCTGCCGTGCTAAGGAAGAACGCCGTATGAGCATTCGAATGTTGCCAAATTTTTTCGTTGAAAAATTTTATTTTTTAAGAAAGTTATGAATATTATCCCTCGAGACTTCTTAGATCAAATTACGAACGAAATCCTCCGAAAAATCGGAAAAAAAAAATATTCACAAATTTCCCTTAAAATGTGTGATTTGTCGAAGAAAATTTAGCAACGCCTGATGGCTCATACGACGTTCTTACTTTAGTGCGACAGCTATTTAGTGAGAGTGTGGATATGTTGGTACTTTTGGGCAAGGTCATGGAGCTTTCAGGGCCCAAAAGGGTAGCCAATCTATAAATTCAAATCATCCTAAGTGATTTATTATTATAATTGTTACGACTCGTCGTTTGTAAAAATTTCATTTGACTTGGTTGTTGCCAGTACTCATTTCTCTGAAAGAACGCTCATTTATACAAATTTTTGGCCACCTTGGTTTGATTTTGGAATCATAGGATTGGCAGTGACATTTTTTGTGTTCGAAGGTTGGCTGCTATTTTAGACCCAAAGAGGTCCATTTTTCGACAGGCCCGTACTCTTTCTATATACATAAAGGTACAAGACGTTCCAAGAGATCGCCACTGAATGATCCACTTGTGATTGCATCAGCTTTTTCAGCAGATGATGCAAAAGTGCATATAATGCAGTTGTGGTTGCTTCTATTACCGTGAATTTTACCCCAACCATATTTTTAGACGTTACAAAGTGTTCAAAGTAATTCTGCGCATCGCACTTAAAAAAATATTTCAAATCGAACTCCTACAATGAAAAATCTGGTAAATGGTGCAATAACTCTCTCATAGTCTCTCTATACATAGAGATGCTCTGTCACTAAGTATTTATCGATCATCACAAATATCAAATTGTATGCACAGGCACTCTAAAAATATCATTGATGTATATTTATTGGGGTTTCTGTTTAAGTTTCGGGGGGTGAAAATTGAAAAAAGGCTTTAAATCAGTGATGGTACGCAACTGATAGGGACTCCCTTCTCTTGTAGATAATGAAATGTTTTATTGCTCTTGTTTTATTTTTATTGGCTTGACGAATCTTTTATATTTAATGGTAATTTATATGTGCTCGGTACTTGAGAGCTTGAAAAATAGGGCTGTACCCTCGTTATCGGTAGAGGAGGGAAAAGAAGGGACATTTGGAAGATTAAGAATGGATGCAACTTACCAATTTTAACCAAATATTTGTGATGAGAAGTTGATTTTTCTCGTCCTGAAACAAACAAATGATTTTGGCGATCAGGAAACGAGACAAGAAATAGCGTAGTCTGATACAACGAGTTATTACGGTATTTCATTTGGACCTATGCACATGAACAAACTTTAGTGAATGAAGAAAAAACCCTTCACCTATAGGATTATGGCAGTGATGCCATTCTGAAATAAGGAAACACATGACTAAGAGTCCTATTACGAAATGGAGAGAGACAAATAATGTCAAACAAAGATCAATTATAAAGCTATTTTAAGATTCACGAGATTTGAAATGGATCGCATTTTGTTGTAAGGAACTATTCCTTCTGCCTCATCCGTGAAAGCACCTACTCCTACCAGTATATCGAAACTTATGGCACCCACGTCGTTTTTGAGATGAGTCAAAGGACGTATTTATGCTAAAAGGAAGTATGTGCAAGAGGAAAGATGCGGGGTGCGCTCGTGGCGAGCTGGATAAGAAACGATGTAAAAGTGGATATGGTTCCTTTTTAATTAAATAAGAAGGAACTGAACGCTAACTCATGAGCCGTGGGCATGTGACAAGAGCGTTGTGGACAGGCCTCATGAGTTAAAGACCGCGTTGCCGATCGCCATCGCTCCCGTCGTTGCCGCTGACGTCACTGGCGCTTTATATTTTCCATTCATTCTTATGGCCCGGATACTAAGGAGCACACCCCATCTTTCCACTTGCACATACAAGTAGCATAAATACGTCCAATTAGTAGCTCCTTATGGAAAAATTTAGTCAAAATATTATGCAACGCTTTAGGTGGGACGTGGAAAGAATCGACGGTCTCGATGTTCATACCTAAGAAACAGTGGCGTGGCGTGCTTTGCGATATATTGATTAATCTGTCATTTAAAACTATGGAAAAGTATCGATAAACAAGGTGTTCGCAGCGAACACCTTAATAATCGATTATTTACCACAGCTTCAAATGGGGAAGTATCGATAGATCGCAAAGCACGCCACGCCACTGCTCAGAAAAATCAGTTACGTAAAACTTGAACTGCCTCATGGTAAGCAGTATTTTTTACTGCTTAATCAGCTCATTCATTCCGCAAACACTTGGTACGTAACTTAGAGAACGATCAAGTTTTCATTCCGGAAAAGGCGTATTATTTAGTGCGGAAACACTCAAACTAAAAATTCCCACAATAAAGTCTTTGTTCTATAGCCATTCTACGCTGAAAAATTCCATCTTTGTGCGTCTGAAGAGAGCATGTACGGATTCTTCTACATGAGAACTTTCATGTTTTATAGAACTCATAATTACCCCCCATTCATTAGAATTTTCATGTCCCTTGGTTTTCATCGCGAAACTCTGAACTTTGATGGGTGAGAAATATGATTTAAAAAAAAAAAAAAGTCGAAAATCTTTAAACATTATTCCTTTTTGCAGGGTCGATAACCTAGGGACAAAGTTCACAACCCGAACAAACAACTTTTTAGTGGTTGTACTTATTTCCTTTTTTTTTTTTTTTGTAAATGGTTTGACAAAAACTAAAATCAGAAATGATAACAAAGCAACTAAAATGAATTAAACTAGATAAACTTTAGTGCAAAATGAAGCAAAAATTAAACAAAACGACTGCATTTTGAAAACAGGTCAGAGGTTACTGTTCATATTGGTATTAATTCAATACCCCTCCCCCAGAACCCAGATTGCAGGAAGCTATATTAAGATGATCGACGGCAGCTTCAATGTTTAGTTCGGCACTAGAAAATGGGACGTATTGAAATAGTTGGATTGTTCAAATAAATGAACTTTTTTTAAACTCTGAAAAATTTCATAGATTGACAAACTCTGGCGGGTAAATGTTGTTTCAATTAAGACTCAGTCACTGCAAACTGTGCTGTTTAGACTTTAGAGACTTCAAAAAACGAAATGGACCTGCCACCTCTGCCACATAAAAAATTCAAAGAGTGAACATAGAAATGTAATCCGCTGCTCATTTTGGGTCACCGCAACCGTGATTGAGCAGCAATGCTGCCGTGCTAAGGAAGTACGCCGTATGAACATTCGAGAGTTGCCAAATTGCCTTTTGTAACACATGTATTTCTGTCATCATTCATGCATATTTTTCCTTGAAATTTTCAAATATTTTAGAAAAAAATTGCGTACGAAACTGTCTAAAAATTTCGGAAAATAACATGTATAATTTCCCAGTAAATTTGTTTTTTATCGGAGGAAACTTGGCAACGCCTGAAGGCTCATACGGCGTTTTTCCTTAGCACGGCAGAATGGGTGACATAAATGAAAATGATGATCCGTCCCGTTGCATAAATGCTGTTTCAGTAAACAAAACAAGTGTCAAATGTCACTGAGAGATAAGAGGGTGAGAATTTGGGATAAAAAAAGTCAATAAAAAGTTCACACTGTTCGTTATCCGGGTTATGCTAAGTGGGTCGTGATATTGTTGCTTTTTGTTACCTTGTTTACCGATCGATTTCAATTCTCTCCCTCCTCTTTCAAAAATATATTTCGGGTCTCCCGCCTGCAAGACATGAAATGGATCAGTTATAAAGAGTGGGTTTTAAATTTTTCACGCTCAATTGATCCCACGACAGACGATCATACACAATCACCTGTGACAATGCTGCTACTTTACGTGACAGGACTTTTTGCTACGTTACTTTGTAACTTCTCTATCGTTACATCGGTAAGTCGAAGATACATACTCACAAAATGTAATTTAAAATAGTTGACTTTAAAGCGCCGTTTTAAGTGACAATACCCGATCAAACTGACTTCCATAACATTGCCTGATAAACTATTAAAATCTAGTCCTAGGATATCAATTATAAATATTTAAAAATATATTTCCATATATATGGTAAGCATGGTAAGTCAGTTAGTAAATTAATCACGACGATCGGTAATCAGGATATTTTCATCGGAGACCAGGAATTCACCTTAAATTTTAAGGTTTACTTGTAAAAAGACCTTAAAATTTTGGTTGTTACTTTTGGATTATCAGAACTTAAATCATGAATATTTGGATGGATGTAATTTTGAATTTTGATGATAGATATTTTGAAGGAGGTAATTTCGAATTTTGACGATAGACCATACCCATTCATCACTTCCGAAATATGTAAAAGCAAATCATTGAATACTTGTACACTCCGATCCAGAAATGGAGAATTTGCGCGCAAATATTTTATTGCTTCATCTGAGAGTATTTAAAGAGCTGCTTTTGCAGTATGTTTCATCGTTTTTTCTGATAAGAGAAATAATATAAAAATATATTTAAAATTGAAAAAATGCAACGCCCAGTGATGCCGTATCTCAGCATTTCCCATTTAAACACATGTTTTTTAGCAGATTACATCACCATTTTGTCATATGACATTTTATAATGGACCACTAAACAAGCTACGATTAAGAAGCATTTTGATTCATGTTCCTAAACCAGAATTTTGCGAAAAACACGATTCTTGCATCGGAAATACCTGAAATCAACTTCTAAGAAAGATATGAACATTTTTATTTTACATTGAATACGGGCAATTTGAATTGCCCGGTCACAAGAAACGCAAATACTCTACGTTTACGTGAGTCCAATCACGTACTACAACGATTTCGGTAGGCCTCTCAATCAAGCAATGTTTATGTCCCACCCTGCATGTGATATTCAAACTATAAACATCTTGCTATAGCTGAGCCAAATCGTCAAGATTGAGATTGCCAGACTTTCATATCGCAGAGAGTGTCATAGTAACATTTAATGCGCGCTTAGACCCACACAGACCATTGTGTTTTCATGAGCAGGAGGTTTGAATTCACGCGTCAATAAGAAACATTAAATATCTTGGTTAGGAGTTAATATCAATAATTTTCGTTGCGCGAACTGCGTCCTACGAAAAAAATATTGGTTAAGAAACATGTATCCAAATACTTAACTTCGTACCTTGTCTAGTTGTCCATTGTTCAATTTATGAACCAAGGTTTCCTCGTGTTCAATTCACTCAGTAATTTACACTTGAACTCGAAATTCATCAAATTTCTGCGGACACCTGCAAATGTTTTATTATCCTATTCAAGATAAATTCGTATTCTATAACGTAGAACGTATCGAAGCCAGTTTAGAGCGCGCTTAATGGGCCTGTTGCAAACTTTTCCTAGAGCAAAACTAAGAGTTGTTTCCTACAGATAATGCCTCAAAAATCACGATGAGCGCATCGGCAAAGTCTGAAATGCACTCATAACTTCACAATCTGCGTAAGAAATTTGCGTTATTTTGAGCTTCCCGCTTCAAAAACGATACTACTGCACAGGTGAACATTTTGTTAGAGGAGTCGCTCCATCGTCGGCAATATTCATCATGGCCGACGCTTGCGCAGTTCCTCGCGTAATTCGAGGAGAGTTCAAGGTCAATTAAGGCGGGCGAGGAAAATATGAACGTAAACACGCCGATTGTTATATGGTTTAATCCTGTTCAAGTGTTATCTCGTCCCATCACACGTGTTTTGGCGGACTGGCGTCGGCCATGATGAGTATTGTCGCCAATGGAACTACTCCTCTAACAAAATGTTCACCTGTACCGTAGTATCGTTTTCGAAGCGGGAAGCTCAAAATAACGCAAATTTATTACGCAGATTGTGAAGTTATGAGTGCATTTCAGACTTTGCCGATGCGCTCATCGTGATTTTTGAGGCATTATCTATAGGAATCAACTCTTCATTCTGCTCTAGCAAAAGTTTGCAACAGGCCCATTCGATGAGAGAAGATTTCACTTTTTGGGGGGATTTGTGAACTGACTTGAGCAAATGACTTTTTCACTCACAACTTGGATTTAGGAAATCTTAGGATTTCTATCGTATTCCACATGAAATTCCGACATGAAAGCGTACATCACTGTGCGCCTGATTTCATACCGTATCTAAATGTTCATTGACCATACTCATCCTGCACGGAAAAAATTAAATTGCTGATTTAACAATTCAATTGCTAAAAAAAAGTGACTGCAATGTTTTAATGTAGATTTTAAAAC